GAGAAGATTATTCACTGAGAGGACAGGGGGAAGAGGCAGGATAACAGCTTTGCAATATGCGTTGCAGAAAATGGCAGCGAGATCCCAATGAGAAAACCCACAGGGTGACCAGGCAGCACCCAAGGGCTCCGCCAAGATGGAGTTCATGAAGCTGGGGCCCACTTAGCTGTGACTATATGTCGTTTTCTCCAGCCTCCTTCAGTGGGGCAGGGCCAAGCAGCAGAAGCACTGGTAGTTGAGGATAATTCAAAGTTGAGGACAGAAGTCCAAGGGAACCTGACCTTGAGGGAGTGAGGGAGAGAATGAACGAAGGAATGAGCCATAATCCCCATGCTGGCTCCAGATGGAAGGAAGATGGGCAGGGCAGTGAGGGGGAGAAAGCATGCACATCAGGGAAACTCAGAAGCTCAGAGAATGGCTCTCTGTGAGCAAGAGGTAAAGGTCTGGAGCAATGAGAGACTGGGGAGATGCGAAGATTGTGTGCACATGAGCATCACACTGAACCCATTCATATGTACAATGGATACGTGCTAGTAAGTGTAACATACTTGAGTGTTGGAGACATTCTAGAAGGTGCGGCTGTGACCTGTGTATGCCTCTGTGCGTGTGTGTGCGTGTGTGTGTGTGTGTGTGTGTGTGTGTGTGTGCCCTCTCTCTCTTTGGGGAATTTTCCCTCTGTCATTACAAGTGGCCCTGGTTGAACAGTTCATGTTCGTGCCACATCCCAGCCCACCTCACTGGCTCAGGTAACTGGCTCACAAGTAGGTACAATGATTTGAAGGTGGGAACTGGCTCTCTTCTTCTTAGTTCATGGGTTGTTTCCTGTCAGCATGGATGAACCCTTCTGCAAAAGGAAAAGGCAAAGACAAAATGCAAAGATAAGTAAAACCAAGCAGAAATAAGAGATAGATATGGGTAAAAAGAAACCAGACAACAATTTTGGATCCTTGGGGCTGGCCACGTTGAGGGCAGTCCACACCTTAGTCTTTCAAATGAGCACTCACACATCTTTTCGGCTCAAGGGGATCTACATTGCATTACTTCCACCATGGTCTAGGGTGTGAGGGGCTGAAGCAAAGCGAGGAAAACTATGAGAACTGAGAAGGCCCAGGAACAAAGCATGCATTACCTGGGTTGGCCTGACAGGCTTTAAAGTCACCCATGGGCTGGAAAAGCCCAGAATAACGTTGGCAAATGTCTAATTAAGAAAAATGGGCAGGATGCTACTAGGTAAAAATAATGAGAACTGGGGGAAATGATGCATTTCTTAGCTGGAGCTTCAAAACAATGATTTTTATACAAAGGTGAAAGAATGAACAACAGTATGAATGGACACCATACTTCTTCAGGGAGGAAGAAGCACTCAGATCCACTTGCTAATGGGAAGCTAAGTGCAGTGCAGGATAATGAAGATAAGATCATTGCTCTCAACTGGAGATGACTTTCAACCCCCAGGTCAGAGACTGAAAATGAAACTCCACTTTGAAGTCCTAACTATTATAACAATATCACTGTCAGCAGCTCTTTGACCCAGCACAACCTTGAACTACTTGCTCATCTTCTGTAAAACAGACCATAAGGTAAAACTGAAATGTAGAGCTATCGTAGGCTTACAATTTCCCCTGAGCCATTCTTAGCATAGATTCAGATGGCTCAATGACCTAAACAATACCCCAGTAGCAATTTCATTTGTGTATTTGGTAGAAGAGTTACATTAAATATTTTAAGACCTTATCTAAAAATCACGCCAAGCTAATCCAACTTTGGAATGAGTGTCGCAGAGGGAAAGCCAGCAACCAGCTGGCATTTCAACAAGGAGGGAAATGGCTTCACTAACGAACTCTCAACTTCTCCAAATGACAGATAAATAGTTAATGTGTATATGAACTATATGCATGTACAGAATTTGTTTTTTATCCCACGTGCCCTTTCCACTAAAAATCTCAAGTGTTATATTAAAATATTTTAAATATCCCTGTTATATTAAATATTATTGTGTATATGCTTGAGTCATATAGTAAAAATATTATATAAACATATATTTGGGGGTTTTTTTTGAAACAGGTTCTGGCCATGCAGTTTAGGCTGGCCTTGTGCTCACTTTTGTATCCCCCAGGCTGGTCTTAAATTCGCAGTGATCTTCCGGTCTCAGCCTCCTGAATGTTGGGATTATAGTTGTGTGGCACCACTCCTGGTTTCATGGCTGCACGTGGGCACCTGGAGATCCAGAGCCAAGACTGCACAGCATGCGGGACCAGGGATCAAACTGGGGTCTTTGTGCTGGCCAGGTAGGTGCTTATGCCTCTGAGCTATCTCCCTAGCCCCCATAATCATATATTTGGATAAATGAAATATAATAAAAAGTAGAGTACTAACCACTAATTGATTCTTCCAGGAATCCTGACAGATAGTTAATGAAAAGTCAAAAACATAATATTTATGTCTTTAAATGGTATTGTTTAAAATAGCTTTAGTAGTGTGCAAAATAAATTTTCAGAGAAAAGGAATTAAATTTGTTAAAGATTGTATTTGGAAAATGAAAACCAAGAAAATATAAAAAAACACTCCCTCCCAACACACACACACCCCAGTAACTACATTCATGGGTGCCTGCTCCAGGGAAGTAGTGAGGTCACTTCCTCCACTTAGGCAGAGGTGTGGGTCCACAGCAGCAGCTGCAGCACCCACATCCTGCAGGGTTAGAGTGAGGGTCAGGGTTAGGGCTATGTAGGGTTAGTGTCAGGGTTAGGGTTTGACCTGAGAATGTAGACATCCCCCTAAAAAGCTTCAAGCTGCCCCTCTGTCTTCTGGTGGGTCTAGACCTCTGGTTAGTCCAGTTGGTGTCCCCAGTAAGGGTGTGAGGGCACAGGACACACCCTACACCAACCTTGCACACCATGGAGTAAGCTGGACAGAAGGCCTGACCCCCTGAGCAGCGCTGTGGTCACTCTCCCTCTAAGTCTATCATCTACCATGTAAGTGTCACTCGTTCACTTCCTTTTATATGTTTCATTCTTTTTTGCACCACCTACATTCATTTGGTAGCTCCATCAGTCAAAGAGGTCCTTCACTTTTCCTCCCATCTGATCACTTACCTCAGTGGCAACCCGAATTGGACGGGAACCAAAGCAAATTTCCCCATAAGGTCAATGTTGAACCTAACCATTAAGTTTGATTTGATTCTTGTCTAAGTCAGTTTGTAACCAAAATCATGGAAAGAATTAAGTTCATGAACCAAGATCCACTGTGTCTTGGACAGCACTGTGGATTCTTGGGTTTTTAATTATTGAAAGAATAACAACCGAAGGTATTACATTGATCAAGCTTAAAAATTAAAATTAAAGAATGACATCTAGCATTGAATTCACATTCAAGCTTATTTCATTGTGGCAAGAATATTTGTGTGCTTTTTGATCTAATATATTCTCAAGTTTTGTAACTGATCATTGTCTCTCTAATCTTTTAGGTCAGGAGCTCCCACAACTCATTTGTAACACTGACTTTCTGGCCATTCATGAAGAGTCTGTTGCATATTTTTCACTTCCCCTTAATGTTGGGGTGCACTAGAGCTGCTTTTTGCTCTAATAACACATTAGTGCTTCATTCAGAAGCTATAAAAAAGTACATTTCAGAAAATAAAAATAAGATAAATTATTCAAAAGACACAACACATTTTCTCAATAATGTTGCCTTCATTTGGTTTCATCTTGCAGTCCTAGGGAATGAATCCAGGGCCTTCACAGTGAGCTAATTCTCAGTCCATTTCTTTTACTTTTTTGAAACAGGGGTCTTCCTAAGTCATTAAGTTCCCCAGTCTGGGCTTGAACTTACAATGCCCATGTCTCAGCCTACCATAGTGCTAGGATTACAGGCCTGTGTCACCATGCCCAGCCCTCATTGATGGTAAGAGCATAATTTTCTGAAAAATGTTTGTGCGACAGAGATTTTAAAGATGATAAAGCATTAAAATAAAAATCTCAATTCCTGAAGACCATCTTTGCTGCAAGTATACTTGATGCATTGGTGCATAGAATCTTCCAGAATTCTTCATCTTACAGGTTTGGGTCAGTACAATGGTTTCATTCTTCAAGTTCTGAGGTCAGATAGGGGTGATGAAACACGTCTATAATCCCAGCTGAGGCAAGAGAATAGCAAGTTTAATGCCAGCCTGGGCAACTCAGGGAGACTCTTCTCAAAATAAAAAAAAAATAATAGTAAATTTATTTAAAAAAAAAAAAAGGGGGGCTGTGATGGGGGCCGAGGAGATGTCAGTAGAATAAGTGCTTGCCTGGGGAGCGCAATGGCCAGAGTTCAATCCCTGGTTCTGCCAAAAAAAAAAAAAAAAGCAGGGGGTGGGGAGCTGGGAATGTAACTGAGAGGCACAGCATCTGTCTTGCGTGAGTGAGGCTCTGAATTCAATCTCCAGCACAGGGAGGAAAAAGTGCTGAGGTTGTCCCTGTTCAGACATTCCAAATTACCACCAGATACACTCTGGCAGCCACATTAGAGAGAAGCTTCTTACTAAATCTCAGACCTCTATATAATTTATCCAAATAAACTAGTTGCTTTGCTTTATAAGGAATAAAAATGTAGAATGTATTCCTCGCTCTGTTGTCTGGGGCCATTAACTGTTAAAGGGATGTTTTCCTTTCTCGTGTAGGCATTTCTATCAGCATCAAGATTCAGAGGCTAATGAGACCGTGGAGAAGAGGCAGAGTCCTCAAGCAGTGCCAATATGCTGCACCTCCCGGCCCCATCACAGCAGCAGCCACCTACGGGAGTCCCAGAGGGTCCCCATCTGATGGTGACACATTGTATACATGCATTGAAATGTCACATTTTACTCCATAAATAGGTACACCTTTTATATGTCATATATAT